ACCCTGCAGCTTACACCCGCACTGAAAACCTCAAACTCAACCCAATCCGTTCGACACGCGTGGAGGGAGGATGATCCGTTTCACGGTGAGGGGCAAGACATGTATGGTGCACATACAGTGTATACCTGTAAACCTGGTATACCGCACTCGGAGCGGCGGGGGCGGGGGTGGGGGGGAGCCGGGTGGGGACACCGGGGCCCAACCCCTTTTGCGGTCAGCTGCCCTTGTAGATGCATTTCATCCGTCCCTCAAACTTAAGTTTGCGACAGTCTCGGAGGTACAGCGCACTCTCGGCAGCTCCCTCACAAGCAAAGCTTGCTCACGACTCTGAGCTGAGGCAGGTTTGCTTGCCCTAGCGATCTCCGGCCCGTGCTCCTTCTGCAGTTTTGCAGTCCTACTGGACTTGCATGCGCTGGCGAGAGGGGGCTGCATGGCCCCATCAGGCCCTTGCTTCCCGAGTCTAGCCGAACGCACACGTAACGGAGCGGCCGGCACGGGTGGAGGAGCCGAAGACTCGCAGAGCAGGCACACACACAGCCGCTGCAGACACCGCTTGCTTCAAGCCAGGGTGGTGCTTGTCAAAAACAGCTCGGAAAGGTGAGTGCCGACAAGTCGAGCGTGCTTCAATTAAGAGACGGTCTATCCGCCTTGGAGTCCCCAGCTATCCAGCATCAAGGCTAGGCCGCCTCGCTCAGACTCCATCGAAGTCCGAAGAATGGATTTTAGACTCAATTCAGCCCACAATTCTACCATCGCACGGTCTACCATCGCACGGTGACATTTCAACTTGACTCATCGCGCTGATGGGCAAGAAGAAGAACAAGGCGAGCGACTGACTGGCAGGTAAAGGTCGAAGCAGTCACGCGTGGCCTCTCGTTCGGATCTCTGGCACAGGCAGAAGCCAATCCTTCTGTCAAGAAGCCCGCAGAGGCTCTTGATGCAGACGGTTTAGGGTTTAGGGTTTAGGGTTTAGGAAATGAAGCATGAAGCGCCATGGCACTTCAGTTCGCTCCCCTTGCAAGTGTGTTCTCCCGTGACAGGGACATGCAGATCCACCGGACGCGCAACTGAAGGCGGGAGGCAGGTGGCTTGGTCAATGTTAGCAGCATCTCCTTCTGAGCTGTTTCTTGTGACAAGGTGCAGAAAGTGGCCAAACGGCCGAGGCAAGCTGTTCGTGACATGCGCTCGGGGGAGAGCGAGAGCCGAAACGGCGAATTACGAAAGAAGTCTGAAGCCCTGGAGCCAAATCGGAAGCCAAGCGTAGGGAGGGACCGAGCGGTGTTGGGCAATGCAGCATTTGCAACTTGTAGCATGCCGATGCTGCTTGAAAAGCATGTGCTTGCTGTTGTTCTTCATTACTCATTACCGGGAATGTTCTATCGCTAGGGTCGTGACGGCGATGGTGGTGATGATGATGATGATGATGCTGATGACCTCCTTGATGATGGTGGTCATAACCATAGCTCATGATCGGACACTCTCCTCACTCACCACTCTTCCCGCTCTCACTTCCAACTCCTCGCACTTCTCACTCTCCTAGCTCCCGGTTCTCCTCACTTTCCTCACTCCCCAGTCCTCCGTATTGTTATCACTCCTCTCATTCTCCTCACTCTCCACTCCTCTTCACTCTCCTCACTCTCTGCACTCCTCACTCATCCTTCGCAGTCACCCCCCTCGCTCTCCCTCGCAACATCCTTTCATGACCAGAACCATATCATCAGCAGCGCCTCGCAACATCCTTTGGTGCGAGGGGGCTTACCGCGCCGCTGCGGTGGTGTTTTTCACGCGAGCCGATGGCGGTGCTGTTGCAAAAGTCCTCGTGGCCGTGGAGGACTCAACGATTGCGGAAACAGACAGGAGAATTAGACCATACGGCCGGATGTCAGGAGAGAAAAGTGAAGGCAAGCTTCTTGGGCCTCGAAGACAAAGGCAAAATCGCAGAGCATGGCCCTTAGTTCTTGAACCAGACCTCCATGAGCACAAGCGGAAGCAATAGCTGCAGAAGCTGTGTGCTTTCGTGTAGACGTCCAGGGTCTGGAGCTGAGGCGCTTGGTGGTATTTCCGATGGGGCGTAAAGAGAAGAAGGAAGTGTCCGCGCAAACTGCCCAGCTGTGTTCAGCGCGAACATTCGCATGCGAATGCCCGCGAGTCCTCCCACGATGCTCAACTGGCATAAGATGCTTTCAAAGATGGTGCAGGATAAGAATGATCCTGTCGAAACGGCCAAGCGTGAGTATATCGAGGCGCAGCATGATCTCTGAATATCTGCTTTCTGCGGAGCCATGCCACGAAAGGAGACCCTGGACTATGGCTCCTTGGCCAGGCCGGCTGTTAGCATTTGCGACTTCCTGATGAGAACAAAATTGTGGCATTTGCCTCATGGCTCTTCCTTGCATGAGAAAGGTCTAAACAAGCACTTCCCACACGCGTAAGCTTGAGTCTTTTTGCCTCGCCGACTCTTGGGCCCGTCCGGTAGCAGAGATCCAGCACAAGAATTCCGACCACGCGGAGAGTTTAACGAGTCCAAGCTGAAAAGCAAGGCATAGACAGGCATGTCAAGGGCCAGGGGCGCGCACCTGATCTTGTTGGGCGAAATCCTGCTTCAACATGTGGTAGCCTCTGTACTGATATGTTTTTTGGAAGACGCTTGCAACTCCCTCGAACTACACCCAAGCTTCTGTTCGAGAAGGTGTCGCCACGAGCTCTGCTAGGTACTTGGACTTTGCAGACTTCGAAGGAGGTGGTGACATCGAAGCAACAAGCCCGGAGCTGAAGGCTTCGAGGACTCTGGCAGCATCCTCTCACTTTTTACCGAGACCCGGTGAGGACTGGCACCGGGGAGCAAAGTTCCCATGACTTGGTGCCTTAGCTTTGGGTCTGCAAGCTTGAGCAAGTCCTGAATGCATGACTCCATGAAGCAAGTGTGTGGGTTTGTTTGGTTACTGGACCTCGAGGGAGGCACCGCGTGACAAGCTTCATGAAATTTGACAACCTTCCACAACCGAGGAGCGGTGCCGACAACATGGCGCTCTATTTCTCGCCTGCCGGCCTCACGGTCCTCTTCTGCGAGGTGCCAGCAGAAGAGGCAGATGAGCCAGGAGAGCATCAGAACGTCACGTCCCCCATCAGTGTCTCACAGAGCTGTGTGGCGCCACGTGAACGTTGCTCTCCTTGTGCAGGACATGAGCCTCCGGCCAAGAAGCAACGTCAAGAGGACGGACTGATCCTTCTGATTCTGCAGAGTCTGAAGCCTCCCGCCCAGTGCAAGAACCGCAAAATGCACAGGAAACGGCCGCAGAGCTTCTGTCAAAGCCGAAACCGAGCCGCCGGTCCCAGAAACGCGCTCTCCATGCTTCTGAAGCGTTGGTGGCACCTTCCCATTGGTGTCGCATACTTAAGAGACCTTGGTTGAATTCCCAAGGTCCCAGCTACCATGTTGGAAAGGCCGGAGCACGATAGTTTTGATTGTCAGCTGCCGGCAGTGAGGCATGCTTAGGCACAACCGCAGATGTGGCCTCAAATACAAAAATGATGCAAGTCAGTCTGGCATGCCTCGCCTCAAATGTCAGTGGCTTAGTGTGGCAGGTGGGACATTTGCATTCTGTTTGGCTCGATGCAGAATCCTTGCGCACCGTCGCGTTATCCAAGGACAAGGCCCCTAAATCTGCAAGTCTACAACGCATTCGAGATTCGAGCTCTGCGTTTCCAGGCTCCAAAGCTGAGTCTAGAAGGACAGGACTGCCGGTTTTTCCCTACGAGTGTCTGCAGCTCAGCACGGTTGTGCGGCATGGCACCACTGAGCTGTGTGCCTAGCAAGGCCAGCGTGCTGCGGCTTCCGGAGGCTCAAAAGTGGCAGTGGCCCTACGGAAAACGACAGCCCTTCCCGCCTTACTTGGAGGTTCATGGGTAGTTATAAGTGGGGTTATAAGCACCCTAATATGCGCTATAAGTATAGTTACCCTACTTATAACCCCAGTTATAACTACCCATGAACCTCCAAGTAGGGATCATGCTCAAACATGTGGAAGCAACGTGGGAGAATCTCAGGCTCGGCGTGACACCGGCTTCTTGAGTGAAAAAGGACATTTCCCACGGGAGTTGGGGGCAGCGAAGATTTCACTTGTGCTGCAGCATGAACATGACTGGCAAGACGAACAGATGTTGAAGCTCATTTGATTCAGCTTGTACATCCGATCTCCCGATCCATGGAGGGAGCGCTTTGCTAGAACTCCATCGCAAACCTTGAACATGAAACTCACAGCTTCAAGGAGTCAAGGGTTCCCGTTCTCTTACAATCTTGGATCGCATTGCAGGCACTACGCCCTAGGCAAAAACAACTCGAGTGCTTGCGTAGGGAGCTTGTGACCAGCACCATGCGCCATGATCAGCCAAAACTGGTCAAAGTTGAAGCCACAATGTGCCAAGAAGCCTCGGCCAAAGTGTGCGCCGGACCGTCCATCGAAGCTGGTACGACGTGGGAGCAAGACCAAGAGAAGCAAACATCGAGAAGAAGTGTCCAAGAATCGGCTGCTGCAGTGGAGCCTTGCCTTAATTTGTTGTACCTTACGTTTGCGGCTGCGGTTGCACAAGCACTTCATATGATGACAGTCGAGGGTCGGGCTTGAATTGGGCCGCTGGGACGTGATGGACGAAGTGGTAGCTGGCTACGACCTACACATCTCACCCAGCTTGGGTGGTGCGGATTCCAAGCGCAACGAGCAGAAGCGGAAGAGGCATTTGGAAGCTTGGCGACTTGCCAGATGATTCCATGGGAGTAGACAGGATTCGACGTGCTCTGTGTATGTTCACCCACAACCTTGCATCGCAGACAGTGAAGGCTCTGGGCACGCATGTTCCATCCACTGCTGCCTCTGGGGGAACCTTCGGCCGAAGCACTTAAGCATGGAGATGAGCAACTGCTGCAGAAGCTGGTGAATGCAGGCCTTAGCAAGAAGGCCCGCTAACCAAAGTCCCGTTGTCAGGTTTGACGGCTGAAAGGGCTTTAGCAGCGCATCTAAGCAACGACAGAGGTTCCTCATCCAAACTATCATGTCACAGCCATGTCACGAAAGCTAGTTGTTTTGGAGCTTGCAGGGGGTGTTGTTTACACATCAGGTTGAGGTCAGACGAGACTTCAGCACTTAAGTGTCAGCATGGGGTGGACCCCCTAGCACCTTATTGCCTGATCAGGGAGACCACTGTCTCCAGTAGGGTCCCCACCTGGAGGCCCTCAAGGGTTCAGCACAACAGACAGCAGAGCATAGCAGAGCCGCTGCGATTCGGCAGCAAAGCCGCAGGGCACATCTGCAGAATTGAAGAGAGCAGCATTGCTTAAGACGGTTTCACGTTCACTGCAGGCTTCATTTGCGACTCGTTGACAAGCACAAGCAATGGCGAGTTTGTAGGAAGGTTAACAAACGTTTCACAGTCTTATTGTTTCTTTTGTTGAGGAAGGAACTTTGCCATGGGTTTTTTCGCAACACAGCATACAACGAGAACTGCGTCATTCACATTCGCTTACCAGCATCTGCTCGCAATTGCAATCCACGGCTGCCACTTTCCTCCCCGTAGCTTTCGGCCGCTCTGCTCTCAAGTAGCATAAGTAGTCGGCATGAATTTGCGAGGAGGCCAGGGCGCGAATACGAAAGCTGGCAATCATTCTATCATCTGAGATCGTTCCTGCGACGGACATTCGCGTCCAGGTCGACGAGCACAGTGCCTTGGAGCGAACGAAGTTTCACCACATAGCGCCTCAGAGTCTCGGAAGGGCAGGTCTGAGTCTTGCCTTCTTGCATGTTTCAAGTCGTTTCGCAAACATACATCATGGCTCAAGGCAGCTGTGCTCTCCGCGCATCACCTGAGGCTCAGACCTGATAAAGCTGAGATGCGGAAAGCGCACGGTGGAGGTGCTGCCGCGGTACTTTGCCAAGCTTCGAGACTTGCATGTAGGCTCCAGCTTGCAATTTCATCTAGAGCCTTGGATGGATGTCTGTGTTTTTGTGGTTGTCAAGCAGCTGTCAAGTACCATAGCCGACATGCTGCACTGGCTTTGGAACAGGGAGCAAACGCCGAGCATCCGAGGCTGTGTTCCTGCTTTTGGCCAGATATCGTGTTCTGCAGGTACATGATAAAGGAGGTGGCAATCAGGGAGCGCTCCCTGAATCGGTGTTTGGCGTCTTGCAGAAATGGTCTTCGACCCCCGTCATTGAAGCATTTGCGTCGCCACTGAATACCCTTGCTGGAGCGGGTTATTACCACAGCGCATTTTCTGACGTGGATGGCTTGTTTGGGTCTCGTGGATCCTTCTTCGAAGCTTCTATCTTGGAGGGTGTGGTCGAGGTGAATCCTCCCTTTGACGAGGCCATTGTCTGGCGAACCGCCGTGTTTTGCCAACAATGCCTTGAAAGGGCCGCTGCAGACAAGAAGATGCTTACGTTCGTTGTGGTGATACCGGAGACGGTTCCCAAGCATTTTTACCCAACTGTTTTCTTAGTCGCTTCAGGTTATGAAGTAGTTGTTTGGAAAACTCTAAACCCTAAACCCTAAACCATCAGGTTATGAAGTAGTTTCAGGTTATGAAGTAGTTGTTTGGAAGCCCTCATCAGGACTGGCCTGGACATGCAGAGTTCCTCAGGTCCCAGTTTTTATGCCGATCCATTACCCTGTTGGCCGGGAACCATTTCTACCAGGTTGGAAGCTACCGCCGGATAGGAGATTTTTCGTTTTTGTCTGATACAGGTAGTAGATGCAACTGAACTTTGTCAGCCTGGATGACACAATCAAGGAAATCAGCACTTGAATCACTGCAGAACTTATCCTGCTTCACGCAATACAAGTCTTCTGCTGCTGTCTTCGAGGCCTTTGGCAGGAGCAAATGCTCTGTGCACGAAACTGCACACAGCATTTCAGACTCAGCCAGCAGCTACAAAACCGGCACTGCTGTTCATCCGTTGTTTCTTTGAGTTACGCTTCATGAACTGCGAGTCCTTCTTTTTCTAAGCTTCAAGCCGCGGAATCTTTCCGAGTGAAGGAAAGCTGTCAAACATCTGCGGTATATCTGCACCAAACAATCACTTTGGCTTGACTCCTGCTACATTTTGAGATTGAGCAAGTGCCTGTATGTGAGTGTGTATGCGTGCGCTGCTAGATGCAGAGAGCCACGTCTAATCATTTTATTTCATAAATATTGTTTTCTTTATCAAAGGAAGACCTTAAATATGATTCTTATAGTAAATATATGAATGATAATTCGATTTTGAATAATTCTCTAACAAAAGTGGTGTCTTGTTATGGTCTTGCTATTTACGTCCGTCATTATTTATTGATTCTTTGATTGGTTTCTTATTTATTGATGTGTTATATCTTCTTCTTAATTATCTAATTTTTCGAAAATTATGATACAATACTCCATATTTATATAATTGAATAGACGAAAACTAGATCTTATAGATAATGGTTTTTTGGTTGATATAAATATTGAAAAATATTCGTGCTATTCTAAAAATATTACGGTAATAAGATTTATTTTAGAAATAAGTATTTATATTGAAATAAGATATTGAAAAAATGAAATTCTATTTGTATTTGATATAAGTATGGATAAGGAATTTTATAAATATAGATTCGGAGATTAATATATTCAAAATAATTTTCTTTTCTATTAATGAATAAATGAAATATAGGTTCTAGATATATCCGTGAGCTTATAATGAACATAATATTTTCTATCTACTTTATACAATGCTACGGTAAAACTAGTTTTATGCGGTATTGTACGCTTCGGAGCGCTCCAATCCTAAAATTTTCGGGAGACTTCTGGACTGCAGCAGGCAAGCCGATTTGGTGTACTCGTGACCCAAAATTTTTGAAAAATTTTGAAGCTCGGGTTACAGTTTTAAAGAAAAAGGCAGTCTCGAGCTAGGCCTAGATTTCTAAATTTTTAGAAAATTTGAGGATTTGGGTAGCTCGACGCCTCGGTCTCGAAATTGGCGGAAAATATTCAGTCATTATTTATTAAAAATTTTCTAAAGATTTAGATATCGAAAATTTATAGAAGGAATGTAGCTTTCTAATATCTTACATTCTAAATCTAGAAGATATATTACAGCCATTTTGTAGTCTTATATTGGAACATCGTGCTTCATTTATTCATATAGATTCTCGATCATAAATATTTTCCCATATAGTGCTATGGATGAGGCTTTGCACGCGAAAGTTTAGTATCTATCTGTCTGTCGGGCCGTCTGTTCTCTCAATCTCTCTCTCTCTATCTCTATCTCTCTCTCTCTCTATCTCCCTCTCTATCTCTCTCTCTAATTCCCTCTCTCTCTCTCTGTCTCTCTCTCTATCTCCCTCTTTGATTTCTTCTCTATCTCTCTCTCTCTGTCTCTCATCTCTATCTCTCTCTGTCTCTCTCTCTAACCTTCTCTCTCTCTATCTTTCTCTCTTTATATCTCTATCTCTCTGTCTCTTTGTCTCTCTCTCTCTATCTCTCTCTCTCTTTGTCTCTCTGTCTCTCTCTATCTATCTCTCTCTTTCTCTCTCTATCTCTCTCTATCTCTCTCTATCTCTCTCTATCTCTCTCTATCTCTCTCTATCTCTCTATCGTTCTATCTCTCTATTTCTCTGTCTCTCTCTCTCTTTCTCTCTCTATCTCTCTATCGTTCTATCTCTCTATTTCTCTGTCTCTCTCTCTCTCTTTTTATCTCTCTCTCTCTCTCTATTTCTCTCTTTGGGTCTCTCTATTTCTCTCTCTCTCTCTCTCTCTTTCTCTCTATCTCTCTCTCTCTCTCTCTCTATCTCTCGTTATCTCTCTCTCTATATATCTCTCTCTCTTTTTCTTTCTCTCTATTTATCTCTGTCTATCTATTTGATTTTTTGATAAAAGTTATCTTCAAAATATTATGGCGATTATATATATTCTATGCGGCATAGTACGCTTCGGATATTTAGATTTCAATATTTTGGAGAAATTTGAAATTTTCATATATAGTGCTATGCATGAGCACTTACACGCGAAAATTCAATATCTTAATCTATCTATCGGTCCCTCTATTCTCTCTCTCTCTCTCTCTCTCTGTCGCTCTCTCTCTCTCTCTCTATCTCTCCCTCTATCTCTTTCTCTCTCTCTATCTCTCTCTATCTTTCTCTCTCTATCTCTCTCTCTATCTCTCTCTCTATCTCTCTCTCTCTCTCTCTCTGTCTCTTTAGCTCTCTCTTTCTCTCTCTATTTCTCTGGTTTCTCTATCTATCTCTTTCTCTTGTTTCTCTCTATCTCTATCTCTTTCTCTTTCTATCTCTCTCTCTATATATATCTCTCTCTTTTTTCTTTCTCTCTATCTATGCTTATCTATTTATTTGATTCTTTGATATACTTTATCTATAAAATATTACGATGGCAAAACGTGTGCTATATGATGCAGCACGCTTCGAGCGCCTAGACTTCAGTATTTTGGAGAAATTTGAAAATTTCGGCTTCGGCTGATCTAGGACCCAAAATTTCTAGAGAATTTAAAAGCTCGGGCTGCAGCTTTAAGAAGGTGGGACCTCTTCGGCGGTCTCGGGCTGGGCCTAGACTTCTGAGTTTTTAGAAAATTTGGGATCCGAGTAATTCGACGCCTCGATCTCGAAATTTGCGGAAAAAAATCAATTATTATTTCTCTAAATATTGAAGAATTTAGAATCGATAATTTTCGGAAAATTTATAGAATGAATATAGCTTTCTAATATCTTGAAATTCGAATACAGAATATGTGTTATAGCCATTTTGTAGTCTTATATTGGAAAATCTGTGTTATAGCCATTTTGTAGCCTTATATTGGAAAATCGTGTCTCATCTATTCATATAGAGTATCGATTATAGGAATTTTCTTATCTAATATTATGGAGCAGCGCTTGCACGCGAAAGTTCAGTATTTGTCTATCTATCTATCTATCTGTCCGTCGATCCGTCGGTCTTTCTATCTATCTATCTGACTCTCTATCTATCTGTCTGCCTATCTGTCTCTTTATCTATCTATCTCTCTATCTATCTGTCTCTCTATCTATCTATTTTTCTGATATAATTTATCGCAATATATTCGGGTCTAGATTGATAATTGCTTCGGCCAAGGGCTCCATGAAGGGCAATTCTTCATACATAATGAAATTCATTATGAGATGCTCTCAATTTGATGGTTGCCGTTGGCTCCTATGCAGCCAGGTTGCAGCCGGCGACAAATTATTTATACGGATATTGCACTTCTATAGTATTATTTCCTCTCCCAGGTTATGCAAAAGACCTCGCGTCTTGATTATGATTCTGCCCTCGGCCTTCGACATGGCACTCTAGATGAAATTTGACGCAAGGTGTTGTCACTTGAAGCTTGGCTTCACCTCTGGGATGGCTGCCGTAAAAGTGAATAATCGCAGGTTACCTCTGGCGCCATGAATCGGTGTCAACGTATATGATTAGATGTCCAAGTATCCGTGGCTGATTTTGACGCCGACTTTGGCGTCGGAAATTTAAGTGCAAGAATTCGATATCAACTTGGCCGTAGTTGTGCCGCTACACGAGATTTGCGCCTTCGTGCTGAGACCTGGCGCTCTAAAGTTTCTACAAATTTTCAGACTTGGGCTGTCGTTGCCGGAATACTGCCAAGCTGCATATTCCACTTGAATACCGCTGCTGGAAGCAGCGGGTCAACTCTAGTTTAAACTATCTTATTAATTCGTCTAAAGAAATAATTTCAAATAGATTCTTAATCTCTGTAATTTTTATTATTTCTACCGTGACCTTGAAAATTTAGTCGAATTTTCTTATTTCGTTCTGGAAGTAATATAATAATCAAAAAAAATAAATATTCAAATATATTATAAATATTGAAAAAAATCTGCAAAATGATTTCGTAAATTTTGGATAAATTCTATAAAATGAATATTCTTGTAAAAAGATTAAATATTTAATTGAATTCTGAATATTTATAAATGAAATTTCAAATCTATCTATTCGAATCATTTTTAATAGCATAGAAAATAATTGAGAATATTTCGATTAAAATATTTCTATTTTATTTATCATAAATATATTAATATAAAAAAGAAGACCATATATTATATAATCTAAAATTGATCTCGGAATCAAATTTTAGAATATAAGTATGATTTTATAAAATATGGGAAAAATCGAATAAAATAAGAATAGCTCCCTTATAAACCTATAGAAGATATATTTATAAATAATAAAAGAATATGCCTATTATTTGCTTGCTCATTGAAGAAAATAGCGGTAAATTTTAGTAGTTATCTTCGGCACTTGCCTTCATATTGAATAATCTTTGATATCGCTTGAAAAATTTTGATCAAATTAATAATCATTGCTTTAAAATATAATTATCTGAATCAGTATAAGAATAATATTTGAAATTGATATGAGATAAAGCTTGCTAATTATAATTCATTATATGATAATGAAAGATTTTGAAGATGCATCAGAAATAGCGGATCTAATCTAGAAGAGAAAATGATATAGCATGGCTTCAAATTAATAAATAGATATTATAATATCTTAATAATAAGATTCATTTTGAATCTATAATAAACGATAATTGCTTAAAAATAGATGAATAAGAGACAAATCTTATAAGATACCGATTATTTCTATTCGATATTAGTCTTAGAAGAGAAAATTTAATTATATTGGATAGAAACTCATAATCATTTACATGAAGATCTCGATCTTGATTATAAGATATTTTATATATTAGCTATCTATATATCTATAACCTATTAAAAAATCAAATTGAGAAAAAAATATATTTATATATTGCAGCGTCGTCTGATGGGATATATAGGATGAAGGGAAGGGATGAAATGAAAATTTCAATTTATATTTTTATATCTTTCTCTCATCCCTATGGCAAAATAATAGATATTGGCTTTAGGATTTAAGACTTTTGCCCATATCTTTCCTGAAGCGGGGGAGGAGGTATTTAGAATTCCCGATTGTAGTTTTTAAAATA